ATCATATTTGAAATGGTTTGACCTTCGCTATCGAGATTAGGGAATATTGTTGACACAGTCTGCATGAGATGGAGCGCTCAAGTTAACTCTTTACAACTTATTGAACTGTTATGCAGCATATATTTAATCTTCTCGTCATAAAAATATGTTATCTTTTCCCTGCAAACACTTTATGGCGCGGTACAAGTTTCTCTAAAGGTTACAGTAAATAATATTCTGACGTTACATTTTTCTCACTTTTTTAAGATTAAAGCAAGTATAAAATTGAAGGGAATACAATGTAGGCATTAAAATGAAAATTAAATGTACTTTTGAAAGTGCGTGAAGAATGTGGGGAAAGGGTATATATATGCGTGATTTTGCGTAAGAAATTAGAAATAGTATATGCGTTAAAATGAGTAAGTGTGGGGAAGGGGGTTGATTGTTAAACAATTGAATTGATTATTATTTTCTGCATCTCTAAAACAATAATTAAGTCGCCTAGGTTGTGGTTTGCTCATGAGGATTTGATCCGTACGTCGCAGATTCGAATCTTACTGTAGCACGTGGAGATCGGTCCTTTAGGATGAGGCCGTATTAAGTTTTCTCACTGCTCAATGCCAAAATTTGCAACTCTCAAACGGCACTTAGTTGCGTCTCCATATAAAAAAAAATCCGAAGTGGGACGTTAAACAACAAACAAAAACATTGTAGTGTAATTACGTTGTTCGAGTTAAAAAAAAAGGTTAATAATACTGCCTTAGTCTCGTTGTATCAAACCTTTAAAAGATCTAAATCTGACTCAGAGGAGCAAAGTACTGCAGGCGGATCATTTCAGTAGTTAAATTCCTACCGTTAAACGTTAAAAAAGAGTAAACTATATTCAACAGGGGTTTGAGACCTAGTGATTAAAATTGTAGGTGTAAGAGAACTAGTGCTCAGAGTTTCAGTCCAGAGATAACCAGGTAAAATTAGATAACTAGAAAACTCTGATGAGACTGTAGCTCTACTGGTCTGTAAGTATAACAAAGGAAAAGTAGCACTTGGATTTGAAACTTTGCAACAGGCAGCAATAAACAGAATTATGTATTTAGGTGTAGTTTACTTGTGTGCCAAGTTATATTGAAATCAGACAAAACTGTAGGAGAAGGAGCATTTTGAAAGAATTTCATAGAAATTTCTCTATTTTTAGAAACCATGGCAACATCTTTCATTGGAATCAATAACCGATGCAGAGAATTATTTATCTTAGTGTAATCTACTCGTGTGCCAAGTTATATTGAAATCAGACCAAAACTGTAGGAGGAGTAGCATTTTGAAAAATTGTTGACAGACAATCCGACGGACACACTACTATTGCATAAGCTCTTCTGGTCTCTGACCAGTACAGCTAAAAACAAAAGTTTAAATCGTTGTTTTGTTGACTTGTATTGATAGTTACTGTAAATCAAATAAGCTATATACATCAAGAAGCGTATTCACTGTTAAACCCACAATACACTTTACAGCTTTAAAATACAAAACTGCTTGTAAATTGAAAGGGTCTTACCGTACATTTCTACCTCACAAATGGACAGTGAAGGTATGGACGTTTCTGTGACGTTATTCAGAGAGAAACTGAACCTCGTATATATGATGCTTTCTTGTATGGGATAGATAATTTTAATAACACTTGAGGTAAAGGCTGGTATATCTTCAACCCCGGAGTACTCGTACGGGTAGTGTGATGAGCAACAAAATTGCAATTGGTAGTTAAACTTTATTGTTGCATTTCCTGTCATGATAAAGAAAAAAAAATAAAAACAAAGTCATCTTTACAAAACTGTTTGTTTGCCCCACTCTTTACGGACTGCCTAAAACTCTTGCGACTCAAAACTTTATTTTAAAATACAAAGAACATTTTATTTTGCTTTTTATTCCTTGATTTTCTGTTCCTTTCATATATATATATATATATATATATATATATATATATATATATATATATATATATATATATATATATATTGTAATTATTTATAAGGGGAAAAAACTACCAAATTATTTATAGGGGAAAAGACCTACCTACCGACGCAATACCTTGACCTCTAGGTTGGTAGAGGGCAATTAAACAGTTTTAGCTCTCCTTAGCAGAAGGCTTAAGTGAATTTTTCTGATCAAAATTTGTCCGTTCTTGGTCGTTGTTGTCGAAAACTTTTCACATTTTCATCTTCTCAAGAACCACTGGACCCATTTTAACAAATTTTGCCACAAAGTATCCTTGGATGAAGGAAATTCAAGTTTGTTTTAAAGAAGGACCACGCCCTCTTCCAAGGGGAAATAGTTATGATGGATTACATGTAGTGGAAATTGATGGCGTTTTTTAAAAATCTTCTAACTTGGCCAGGAAAGGTGAAACTCAAGTAGAAGCATTCTCCTTAGGTAGTGTGGATTCAAGTTTCTTCAAATCATGACCCCCAGGGAATTTTTTTTGTATTTGGGAAATCTTTAAAAATCTTCGCAAGAACCACAAAGCCGTGATTGGTCATATTTATGTGACAGCATTCACGTGCCCATGTTGTGTGGATTCAAGTTTATCCAAATCATGATCTCCGGGGATGAGTGAGGTCCACAATGGTCAATTAAAGTTTTACATATGAATGTAAAAATCTTCTTCTCAAGAATAGCAAAGCCGTGATTAGTCATATTTATATGGAAGCTTCTGCAGGTGGTGTATATTCAAGAATGTTCAAATCATGACGCCCGGGGGAAGGGTGGGGCCGCAGTGGACGATCAAATAAAGTTATATATAAGAATGTATAGGGAAAATCTTTAAAAATCTTCTTCTCAAGAACAGCAAAGCCAAGAATAGACATACTGTAACAACAAAACTCGTTTAGTACGAACAAGGAATTGCGAATTCACGGATATAGTGAAGTTATCTTGGATACCATGCTTTATGAATTTAACTAATTCCGTATAATACCTTATACTGGTATAACGAATTACAGATATAGTGAAGTAGTTTCATAGGTCCCAGTGACTCGTTATTACTGAGTTTTACTGTATATGGAAGCATTCTCATGTGGTGTATACATATTCAAGTTTCTTCATATCATGACCCCTAGAGGTAGGAAGGGGCAACAACGATCTGTCAAAGTTTTACAAAAGAATATATAGAAACAAGAACATTAAGAAACAATTTTCTTCCTAGGAACAGCAAAGCTATGATCAGTCTTTTTTTATATGGAAGCATCTTCATGTGGTGTAGATTCAAGCTTGATCAAATTATGACCCCCAGGGGATTGAGTAGTGTCACAATAACATTTAAACTCATAGGAAAAAAATCTGTCAAGAAAAATGTTAGCATGCTTAGTCAGAGTACAATCAATTTTGTCCAAATCATACCTCCTCTCCTTTTAAGGGTAGGTCGGGACCACTTTTTAAAACTATATGTAGTCTAATTCTTTCCCTTTTTTTCTTAGCTTAGCTCGGGTGAGCGATGTGGCCCCTGGGCCTTTTGTTTTTTAGATGGAACAAGACGCCCACGAATGAAAACACGCACAATTTTATATACCTTATTACATGAAAAAAAAAATCATACCCGTATTGATAAAATAAAACTGCATATCTTTGATATTGTAAACATTCTGTAGCATTATGCTCATGTGATATTTCAATCTTTCCCATAAGGAGAGGTCAATGCAGCTAGGCTCTTTGGTATATCCATCGAACAAACGATAGGAAGGTAAATAGTTGGAGTGATGAAAGAAGTGATGATCCTCGTAGTAATATAGAGATGTATCCGATTGTAGAGCCACATTTTCAGTATCTGCAAAGAAACATTACAGAGTTATCTCTGTTTATGAATAGTAGTTTCATTTATTCACAAAAGACTTTGATGACTTCCGCGCGAGGAAATGAATGAAATTTGCGGGAGACAAGAAATTTAGGTAAATATAAGCAAAGACAGTATATTTATATGTTGGTTTCAGCAGGGAAACTACATGTAGTATGATTTAAGAGACTAGATTAATCTCGCTTTCGGTGTTTCTTGATGTACGAATACTTACTAAACGCTCCTTGGCGGCAGAAAAAAACTGGAAACTCGAGACATGACAAGAACAAAATAAGTGAGCACGATCAACAAGATAAACAGGGCGCAATACAATATATCGAATCGTTGTATTGAATCCTACAGGTAGCCCTAAGTTTTTGAGACATTATTTTTTTCAAGGCGATATAGATCAATAGGCATGTACTGGGTTATTAAAAGCTATTTTAAAATTTATTTTATGATTGAATAATATCCATCTTTCTGATTGGCTGATATTCAACTATGTTAGAAAAATACTACGTTGTATTGACGTGCACGTAAAGTTCCAGATCAATACAGGGATCTATTTCCTCTACATTGTTCTAAATATAGATTGAGAAATCCCAAAATGATACAAATTGTTTTGGAAAGCTATTTAAACGACTATACCTTTTTTTTCATGTGAACAAAACATAAGCAAATATATGTTTTCGGGTGAGGGTGGTAAGAAGGGATGCAGGGACCCCTTCAACCCTTTTACTAAACAACAATTTTTTACTTTTTGGCAGTCAGTTTTCCCTGATAAAACTCAAAATCTATCCTTTGAAAAAAAAGATCGACCGACATTACATTTTTGTCATGGCAACTAAAATTGATTAAAAACTTAAAATTGATACGACTGGTAAGGCTTTTTTACATTTTAATTCTGATTTCCTAATGTATTTTGCTAGGACTTAATTAAATGCAAGCAAGTAATGGGCTTTATCATTTTATCAGTGAATCATATAATAAAACAATTATTGCTGTTTTTTCGGTCAATACAATAATTTAGCCATCTTCGAAGTACAATATTCACCTCGCCCTTCGGACTCTGTGAATACTTTACTCCTCAGATGGCTAAATCATTGTATTGTCCTCATAAAACAGCAATAATTGTATAATATTTAAACTTTATTCCATGATAATCAGCGTGATTAATTATATAATACTACCTGATATTGTTCTGAAAAAATACCAATATTTCTATGACTCGCCTATAAGTCGGACAGAGACATTTTTTGGACCAAAAATCAACTCCCCAAAACGATTTTCAGACGAATATACATGTATATACATGTATATATTCGGCCTTCGCAGGATTTGATCACGTGCCCAACCAACTTCAATTTCCATTGAAGTTTTTAATTTTTTTTATTTATTTCTTAATTGTTTGTTTGTTGGGAACAGTATATACTTAAAATGTCAATTCATTACAAAGCGACCATTAGGAAAAATATTATATTAATAAATTAACATTTCGAGATAAATGATAAACACCTTTCCAACAGCACATGCTTCTGACCACCAAAAAACACATTTTTTGACGATAAAACTCGTGCTTTATATACATTATCACGACAACAAACAAACAGGGAACAACAAATTACATGTTTGCGTGCTAAAGATACTTCAGTGTAGCAAATTGCACATAGAAAAAATATAACAAATTTGGAATTATAATGAGATAACAATGAAAATTAAGGAAGAAAGTAATACTTATGCTACAGTTTGGTCCTGTGTAACCTTCGCTGCAGACATAGCATGCTCCATTGTTAACGTCACAAACTTCACAATTCTTAGACTTATTACAGGGGAGACAGTCCTCACCATAATGGTCAGTTTCACAACCTGTAGAAAATTATGATTTAAAAGAGTCTTTTTTTAATTAAAACATGTATTATGTACATGTAGGTCAATAAATATCATATATAAATAAGTATGGTCATTGTGCTTTTTAAGCTGACAAGTAAAACATCAGCCGCAAATTAAAGATTCTCAACTCACCAATTATTTCTATTTCACATAGCTCAATTTCGAAAGAGTTTATATAATCAAACCATATATAAAAGTAAATGTATGATCCTGTGCGTTGAATATCAAAGTCTACTGTGTGTGGAACTTCGGTTCTAAATGAATCAGTGATGTAAAATGGCCAGTCATAAGTGTTATCGTAGTTCTGGAAATACGTTGCGTTTGAAGAAAAATTCCCTGTAAGAGAGTTTATTTAATTGTTATTTATGTTTTAAGTACTAACATTTAAGATTAAGAAAGAGTTTTTTCAGTTTACCACTGAGGATTTTCTATAAAGCTATCTTTTTTATTTTCAAATCTGGATAGATTTTAAATGGGGAATTGTGTTCCATGGTAAATATACAAATACATGTATATGTGTACATCTTACGGTCATGTAAAACTTTTTTTTTTTTAAATCAATTTGCATGTTTAAAATTCCTAATTAAAGCTATTAAAATGATCAGCAAAAAAATTTAACATCATTTGTTGATTAACAAAGGAGATACAGAACTTAAAGTTCTTCATAATGTAAACAGGGCTCGTGCCCTGTTTTTGTTAACATATAGCAAATATCATATTTAAAACAATAAAAGAGTTAGCAAATCACTAGAAACTGTCTAATCGTATTAAGAATGGACTTCTTCATAGAAAAAATATGCTTTGAACGAACATGTATTTTAATATATATTTAACGTAATATGTAAACAAATTCATTGCAGGAATCTTGCTAACATTGAAAAAGTTTGGAGCTCTAAAGCTGAAATTTAACTTTGTTGAAAAATCATTAAAAATACTTTTTCAACTGAAACTGTGTCTATCTGCCTTAAAATCAATGGCATGTACGTAAAAAATATGAAAATTTGTATGTATTAGACTTTTGTTAAGACATAAAATAATTACCTTTGAATACAAGCCTTGACAACTTTATGTTATATGTCGTTTGAAGGTATATGTTAAAATAAATGTTGTATCCATTGAAACGTTCACAGGTGTCGACTCCATCTCCGTTGGTAAGGTTTTCAGTATTGAAGTTAGTGGATCCACCATTGTCATAACTATGGCCTGACACCGTCCTTCCAATCGCTACATTACCTGATAAGAACAAAATGTTGACCAATATATATATATATATATATATATATATATATATATATATATATATATATATATATATATATATATATATATATTTGTGACAATCGATTTAGAAATTTCTATATTTAATAACTTAGGTTACAGTATTTATCTTAATCCAATATCAATATTAATAATGTATCATATTGCAGTCTTTAATTTCGCCGCGTTCCATCGAAATCAGATTGAAGCGAAGTTATAAGCATTCAAAGCTAATACAATATTATTACAACTACTAAATTTCTACAATTTTAAGAAAGTTTCTACAACTTTTAAATTTAGTTCAGAGCCATATTCAACGGCGAGACAGCTTGAGTACGTGTTCGAAAAACCTTTCTAGGATAGACACCTATATCAAGATGCCATTTGTAGAATCAGAGCATACAGAGGTATTCATCAGAGGACAAACAATATCAAGGATGACTGTATTCTGCTGATACCCCAAAAAAATGAGTATTAAACTTTTCACATGCTTATGTTTTTTTGAAAGTGTAATATCCAAGGAATAATTTAGACAAGAAAAGTGTATGTTAGAGTTCAACTAAGAGAGATTAAACCTCTTGAACATGGGTCAAAATAGAGCGTTTGAAAGTGTGTTTGATTAAACTTTCAAACAATTCATTTTTAGTATATAAGTAGACCCTCCTCCTCCCCATTTTGGTATCCCTGACCCAGGGGCCTTGAAATTCACAATTCTGGAAGAAGAGACCATCATAACTATGTAAATAGTTCATCTGCTTATTACCCAGGAGTAGAGAAAAAGATTTTCATACTTAGATGTAATGTATTTTCACCGTATAATTATTATAGAGCCACATCATAACCCCTGACCCTGGGGTCATGAATATCACAATTTTGGTAGAAGCATTCTTGCTCATCATACCTATGTACTTAAAGCTGACATGAACTCTTAAAAAGGCATCAGTTTTCATCTTTGTACGACTTACTACATTCCTGTACGCCCTTGTCCGACATATTTGTTCGATTCCGCCATATTTAGTCGAAGATTTTTGGCCACCTGTACCTGCTATATATAGCCCTGTAGAACTGTTTCACTTGAGTGATTTTCTAGTCTGGCTGTCGACATGTACACATCTCCGATAGCATAGTTTTTAGAAGTCCAGAAACTGACCAATACATGTTTGAAAAGTAAAAATTCAACAAAAAATAGAACTATACCGAGAATTAAATTATTTTTGAATGCATTTGCTGCAAAATAAAAAGTACACTAACACGGAACACATTTATGTACAGCAAAAATCCATGCAGGTCGAGAAAACGCGTCAAACGCAGTGATAAAAACATTTACCTGAATACTGCTATCGTTACAGGGATGTGCACATGTCGAAAGAATTATCCTATTTTACTTTTATTGAAAAATGCATCTCAGAAGTCATGTAATCCATTGCTAACTCAATAGTAAAAGATGCTTGGACACACGTGGCCCATGCCGATCATTTTATTTGGTCAGGGAAAATGTCAAAGGTTGGTATTTACATAAAATTTATGATTACATGGTTTAACTTCATTAAATCTATAATAAAGCATGCGTTATTACGAATCATTCACCTTATGAAGCCTGATCTGAAACAGATTAATTTTTATCAAATAAATACTATGTATAGGCCTGCTTTATTAGAACTAACATAATTTGATTTAAAGTTATTTATAATTTTATGTACAATGAAAGAAAAAAAGTGAGCAAGTTCACATACCCCACGCTTCCCCAAAAGTCGAAGTGCTGAAATTCCCAGAAAAAAATAAAGGAATCGTAATTTCCATGTATTATGCTCATCTATACACATTGTGTCCTAAATATCTGCAAAGTTTGACGGAATTGTGTGCAGCGGTTTATGAGGAATTGCGCTGACAAATTGTTCATCTCTATTTTCAAGATATGGCCAAAATATAAATGTGAAAGTGCGGAAATTCCCGAAAAAATGAAGAATTCGGAATTTTCTGGTGATGTGCAAATCTGCACACACACATTGTCTCCTATAAATATCTGCAAAGTTCGACAAAACTCTGTGCAATGGTTTATGAGAAGTTGCGCTGACAAAAAAAAAGAAGAAAAACTAGAGCAAAGCTCGTTGCAAAGCAACGAGAAGGTCTTCCGTCCTGTTTTGACCGGAAGTGACGTCAGCAAAAAGAAAGCAATGAGCTTAGTCGTCTCCAGTCACTTTATAATTTCAATTTTGCATCAAAACCTTAAATAATAAGCTATTTTTGGCTACTTCCGGTTTGACCGGAAAGGATGTCGATGGACAGAAAATTAAGTTCTGTGCTTCTTGTGATATATGTTACCCAAAAACTTGTCAAGAACAGCAAAAATATGCATTTTCTGACTACTTCCAGTTTGACCGGAAGTGACGTCGCCGGACGCATTTTGACGACTTCATTAGATTAAGCTTGACATTTTGAACAACATTGCTTCTTGGATGTATCACAAATTCTCAATACTTTTTGAGATATCTGGAAAAAACTTTTGGCCCCTCTAGATCCCTTAATTTAGGGGTCAGCCCTTTTTCGAGATATCATTCAAAAGATCTTGTAAATCTGCACAAATTTTGTTCTATATGTTTTAACAAAATATTTTTAGTTTAGAAGATAAAAAGCAAAATATGTGTAAATTTTCGTCCTTTTAGGCGTTCTAATTTTTGACCCCTATATAGCACCATTTTGAATAGCGAAATCGAAAAACAAAAACCACTATGCACAACTACAATCCTTCTAATATCTAAAATCAGTAGAATTTTTGCTCCAGCTTTAGCCGTCTCTGAGCCTTTGTCTGGAAACGAAAGCCTATAAATTTTCGTTTGAAGGGAAATAACTCAAAACCGGAAGTGACTTTTTGAAATTTTAGATAGCTTTCTGATAGAGTTTAGTAACGTCTATCAACTCTGAAAATTTGAGCAAAATCCATCGAGAAATGAGTGAAATATGAGGCCACAAAGTTGGCGTCTAGGAAAAGGAAAAAAAAAGAATAAGAAGAATAATCTTAATCATCAGAATCAGTAGAAGGTCTTCCGTTGGAAACGGAAGACCTTAAAAAGACTGACTGACGGGTCAAAAACATTATACCTCAGGCAACTTATTGCGAGGAGTATAATAAACGAGTTTGATTCTGTGGTGCAATGATAATGAAAATAGAATTTAATGTGAATTAAGTTTCTAGACATAAATAAGTTATGATTATTAGAAAAAAATATAGGAAGAGAGAGCAAACTCCCCATGAGAATTCCACATTCTACCTACAATTAGCTTTTTAAAAATTCTCTTGTCTGTTGTTCAGGTCCAGAGAAAGTTCCCAATATTCCCATTCCTGTGATGTATATTTCACGTTTATCAAAAGCTTGAAAAGTGGGAGGGTTTGTAGTAATCGTTATGTCCGTCCGTCTGTCCGTGCGTCTGTCTCTTACGCTTTGGGGTACCAATCTCTTATCCGCAAATCATCTTGTACCACTTAGTGAAATTTAATGAAACTTTCACAGACTCTTAGGTATATTACATATTACCATTGTGCAACTCCTATTTTACTTTTCAGGGGTGTAGCAACAGGGGGGGGGGGGGGGGGGGGCTGCCCCCACTTTTTTCTGCGACCTAACTTATACTATAGGAAATGTTAATTGAAGGTGTGGTTTTGTTTTGTTTTGTTTTGTTTTTTTGCTTGTCAACTTTTTCAGGTAATTAAAAATTATTCTCTGACTGGCCACCACTTTCAAATACGATGCTACGTGCCTGCTTTTTGATTCGACACATATTTTGGGTTTAGCAACAACAGCAAAATATGGACTTTTGCCATTATAACTACATGGGAGGCGGGGTATCATTTAGTGAGCTCATTGCTCACAACACCTCTAGTTTCTCATTCAATTTGGGCGTTTGGGTTAATTTTTTGTTCAAATTAAAATTATTATCCAATTTATGAAGTTTCGACATCCCGTCTGAGAAAAATCCATGATCATTTCTAAGGCTTAATAAATGGTACAGCACAAAGTGCGTAGGATCTTATACCTATTATTGCCCTAACGGACGGAAGAGGTAAGGAGAAAGAGAGAGAAAGTTCAATTTACAAAGAGTTAATAAAAATTATCCGTATTCAACCAGTGTCAAGTATCCCTACTCTAGCTCTTAAAATTATCTCTCAAATACTCCTAAAGAAATTATTTTTATACAAAAAAAAATAGCTAGACTATCAGGCAGGGATGCTGAAATCTCGAAAGACTCTCTGTAACAACATAAAACAGTTACATTCCTCAAAATGCACACACTTTGTGGTCGAAGTGACACAGTTTTAAAAAAAATCTCAAAATAGAATTCGGCAGAAATGTCTGTCTTCCAAGAATATTTAAATAACGGTCATGTCAATTATTTTTGCATGCCCCCTCCCCCCCCCCCCCCCCCCCACCTAAAAAAATCAAATGCCTAAATGTCAGTTTGAACAGGGGATGGCCTTTCTCCGTGTTTGTGTGTGTGTGTGTTAAAGAACGTATAGATGTACACATAAAAATTTGTATTCTGGTTAATTGCTTATAAGATTTGAAGTAAATAATTACCGTACCTCAAATTACTTGGTTTAGATTTGAGATTAGTACTAAAATAATCAGTTATAATTGACAAATGAATTTTGCGACGCAAACCAACTGCAGACTATATACATGACTTTGTATAGAATGTATATTAGAAGTACATGGAAATAAACAATTCACAATTATAGCTTATGAACAGCAGTTTAATACTTTAACCCCCCTCTTTCAGCCGCGCAAATACCAAATAACTTCTCTTTCCACTTGTGATATTTTCCCTCATCAAAATGTTATCAGCACGGACTAAGTGTATCGACGTGCTATTCTGTACGGAGTAATGCAGTGTGTTAACTATTGAGCTTTTATGGAGTTTATTTATTTTTTGTGATGCATATTTCAATAAATAGGATTCAGGGTGTATATCACTTGACT